GTGTGTGATTGTGTTAATATATGGAAAGTGATCTTTATTGTTAACCCAACTGGATAATTAGAGCCACCCAGGAAGCATACCTCAAGGTGTGTCTCTGAGGGTGTTTCCCAGGGAGGCTTAACTGGTAAGGCAGAACTACCCTGTGGGTGGTGCCATCCCTTGGGCTTGAGTCTTGAAGTGAATAAATAACAAGGAGAAAGGGAACCAAGCACCGGCTTTGGCTTCTCTCTGCTTCCTCATTGTGGATGCAACAGACGTGTTGTACAGCCCTGTGGCCATGCCTTCCCGCCATCATGGATTGTACCCTCAACTTCAAATCACGAGCTCCAATAAACCCTTCCTTCCTTTATTCAGTGGCGTTTGCCAAGTATTTGTCAGAGCAGTGAGAAATGTAATGAATCCAGACAGGAAACAGGGAGGCACCAAGGCTGCACAGTGCAGGGTCTGGTGCCTTTGGTTGCCGTAGTTCTTCATTTGTTGAGTCTGCCTGACATTCAATGCCTGCAGCCCCATCCAAAGCCCCTTTGGGAGATGTCACTCTCACCATGAGAGTCACATACTTAGCTTATCCTGCACAGAGGCATGCTGTCAGCACACTGACCGTTGTGAAGTTACTGCACACAAGCTAATTTTAGAACTTTTTTATCTACTGTGTGAGAAACTGGACTCACTAATCCATTTCCTTCTCCACCTATCTCAACAGCCCTGTGAGACTTCTAGACTAACCTTAGTCGTCCTCATTTGCCTATTCATTCTCATAGATGGGATTGTACTTTTTTTTTTTAAATGACTGGCTTCTTGCTCTTAACACTGTTTCAAGATTCAAACATTCCGTTGTATATAGCAAAACTTTTTCACTGCTAAATAGTGTTCTATTGTATGGATATACTACTGTAGTCAGTGGTTGTGCATTTGGATTGCTTCCATTTGGGGCTGTCACAAAAAACAATTCTGTGAACATCTGTGCATGGGTTTGGCACACAGCCACTTCTCTCCCATACTTATGCCTTGGAGTGAAGTGGTTGGGTCACATAGTACCTCTGTATTTAATTGGGGATCCAACAGAAAGTTTTCCTAAGTAGCTGCGCTACTTTCCATTCTTTCCAGCAAAACATAAGGGTTAGATGACCTCCACAACCTTGTCAACATATGTTGCTGTCTGATTTTTTCTTTTTGAATCAGAATGCCATAGTGAGCGAGAAGGGGGTTTTCCCCATGTGATTATCTTTAACATTCATGCTCATTGGGTTCCTGTGTATCCTTGTTTTGGAGAAAGTTCTTTCATTTCCCTTGTTCAACTTAAACAATTGTTGTTGGTTTTTATCTCTTGAGGTCTAAGGTCTCATATTCTCAGTTTGGGTTCGAACTCACTATGTAGCCAAGGATGACTCTGAATTCCTTACTTTCCTGCCTCTACCTCCCAAGTGCCAGGATTACATGTGAATGTGACACCACAGCCTACTAATACTTTTTAAAATACAGGCAGGACACCAGGTGGCTGATCGTTTTTAATTGAGGCAAAATTAATATACTGTTAAATTTATCTTCTCAAAGGGTGAACCTAAATGCTTTGTAGATTTGTTATGTATCTACCACAGTCTAACTCCAAAATATTTTTATCACCTCCTAAAAGAAAAGCCTTACCTATTAAGCAGTTACTTCCCAGTCTCCCCTTTTCGTAGATCCCACTTATCACCACAGTGCTTTCTGCCTTTATGGGGTTCCCTGCTCTGGATAGTTCATATAACAGAGCCCAGGCAATCACATGTGTCCTATGGTGTTTGACTCCTCCTCTTCCTCCTCCTCCTCCTCCTCCTCCTCCTCCTCCTCCTTCTCTTCCTACTTCTTTTGGTTTTTTGGTTTTTGAGGCAGGGTTTCTCTGTAGCTTTGGAGCCTGTCCTGGAACTTGCTCTGTAGATCAGGCTGGCTTTGAACTCATAGAGATCCACCTGCCTCTGACTCCCAAGTGCTGAGATTAAAGGCATGTACCACCACCTCCAAGCTCAGAGCTTGTCTCCACCTCCCCCTTTTTTTTTCTTCTCAAGACAGGGTTTCTCTGTGTAGTACTGGCTGTCTTGGAACTTCCCTTGTAGACCAGGCTGGCCTCAAACTCACAGAGATCTCTGCCTGCTTCTACCTCCTGAGTGCTGAGATTAAAGGCGTGCATCACCACTCCCTGGCGTGTTTGGCTTCTTACATTTAGTGTGATATTTTCCAGATTCATCCTTGTTGAAGCATGTTTCAGTGTTTCATTTCTTTTTATGACTAACAGCCCCCTGCCTAGCTATGAATCCAGCCATTACTGGAGAGGACCTTGAGCCCAACCCTGAGAGTATTCTGGTGGTGGATGTCTGCAGAGCTTCAGGGAAGAAAGCTCAGCCTTTGCTTGCCAAGTGCTGGCCATTTTCCATGCTGTAACAGAGGAATGGCTCATTCAGAATCACTTCCCTGAGATTCAACACATTTACAGACTAAACCAATTACACCCTTGAGGAAAACTCACACCTAGTCCAATGCCTGTTTTCTAAGAGATGTCATCTCTGTGCAGGGTCATAAGACTTCAACATGGAAGGGCAAAAAGAGATCATCCAACCCTCCCTATTTGTTTTTCCAGCTCATAAAACAATCGATACCACCAACAGCTTTTCTTAAAACTGCATTGTATTTTCAGTCTGCTGCCCAAGGGCTTCTGGCTAGGGGTGGAAAGCCACATGCTCATTATATGAGTCTATCTATGTAAACTATCTGGAGTACGACAACCCACAGATAGCTTTCAGTGAGATAGAAGGAAGATGCAGGGGAAACACCTCTGCAAGTGGAGATAGAACTAGACAACCAGAACACACATTGCTTGGAAACATTTTTTCCCTTTCTGGTTATCCACCTCCACCCAGGTGTGTCTGTGTGTGTGTGTGTGTGTGTGTGTGTGTGTGTGTGTGTACTTGCTGGGGTTTGAACTCAGGACCTGGGGTGTGCCAAGAACAAGCTTATCATTAAGCTATACCCAGCTATCTTTTTCACTTTCTTCAAAGATATCTTCTCTCTCTCTCTCTTCTCTCTCTCTCTCTCTCTCTCTCTCTCTCTCTCTGTGTGTGTGCGCACGCGCGTGTATGTGTGTAAGTCTCTCTCTCTCTCTGTGTGTGTGTGTGTGTGTGTGTGTGTGCGCGCACGCGCGTGTATGTGACAGAGAGAGAGAGAGAGAGAGAGAGAGAGAGAGAGAGAGAGAGAGTTGACTTATGCCACAGCATGAGTGTGGAGGTCAGAGAACAACTTTTAAGATTCAATTTTCTTCTTCTATGATGTGTGTCCTAAAGATGGCTTTAGGTGGTGAAGCCCAATGATAAGACCCTTTACCCATTGAGCCCTTTTTTCAGTCCTTTGAAGCAAAAATATTTCTATTTTTTGTTGGCTTATTTTTATTTATTTTTGAGATGAAGGTTTGCCTTGTTGCAAAGGCCAGCTGGACCTCTTGGGTTGATGATCATCTCTTTGGCCTTCCTATCTACCTCCCCACTACAGATGCACACTGCTGTACCTGGCTAAAAGCTTTTAATATCAAAGGACATCGGCTTTAGGTATTATTCCTCTCTTGTCTCTTGGACTTTTGACAATGAACTGAGAATCTATTACCTGAAAGTGAAAAACCATGAGAATTCACTTTCCTTTTGTTTCTTTAAAAGATTTCACAGATATATTTTTTGATCCTTGTATAAGGTACATTTTTGTTGCTGTGACCATGGAAATGGACCATGACCACAGAAACTTACAAGGAAGAGTTCATTATTGGGGCTTATAGTTCCAGAGTGAGAGTCCAGCATGGAGGAGGAGGCATGGCAGGAAAGCCAGAATGGAAAACCCAGATATCACGTCTTCAGCAGAAAACTTGAAATGATGAGCCCCAAAAGCCCACCCCCAGTGATGTGTTCCCTCCAGGAAGACTGTACCATATACCCCAACAGCACCACCAACTGCTGACCAAGTATTCAATACCTGTGCCTATGGGGGGCATTCTTTTTCAAACACCTACTGTCTTTGAGCCTGTATAAGTTGACTTTTGTATATGGTGTGAAGTAGAGGTTCAGGGTTATCCTTTCCCACGTGGGTAGTTAGTTGTCCTGTGGTCATTTGCTGGAAAAATTCTTCTCTGTCCTGTATAACTGTCTTGTCAAGGTTATGAAAAATCATGATGCCAGATGAGAGAGGTTTCTGGAGGTTCTATCTATTCCGTTAATTCATCCAGCTATTTCTGTGTTCATAAGCGATTAGTTGCCCTTAGTTCAAAGCTGTTGTGGATTTGTAACAATGGCCATTTGGAGCTGTTTCCCTTCTAAATTTTAGGCACCTCATCATAGTTCACCTGCTCCATTATTTGGAACTTCTCCCATTTCTGTTTTTTTCTGGAATGCAACTGACAGTTCCTCAGTTGTGTCTGCAGCATCTGGGAATCTAACCTGCTTACCAACAAAGGGGAGGATAACCTTGAACCCGTGATTCTGGAGTCCATTTCCTAAATGCTGGGGTTTCAGGTCTACACCACCATGCCCTGTCTATAGTACAGAGGATGAGCCCAAGATTTGTTGCGTGAGAAGCAATTGCTATACCAACCGCTAGACCCAGACCCAGCTGGGTTTATATGAAAAGATGGCATCACCGATCTATGTTGTTCCCTTCTTCCGGGGCCCGGAAACTGCTCCATCATCCAGGCATTTTCTCGTGGGATGGGGTGGGATGCGGACCAGCAGATTTGGTTTGGGTTGGATGGAGGGTTTGAAGCACGCAGGTTGCACTGGGGTGGCGCGTCCCCAGCAGCGCTGAAAGCACAGGTGGATTCGGGCGGGGCGGCGCACAGGTGTGCCAGGGAGGAGGCGCCGCACCCTGACTGGGATCCTACGGCCACCTCAGACCCGCGCGCCACTAGGGGACGCCGAGCAGGTAGACGGGGCAACCCCTCAGGCAGCGCTGGAGGGACTGTCCGTGAGGCATTCCAGGTGGCGGCAGCGATGCCAGGCCTGTGGAAAGCAATCGCCTTGGAGACCCTTCTGGGTAAGTCGAGACCGTCCTGGAGAACGCTGACTGGGCTTGTCCCTGACGCAGAAGAGGCCGGCGCCGGGAGTGGAGATGCTTATCGCGCCCTGGGTGGAAAGGGAGGGAGACCAGATCCAGATGGAGGTACCCAGGCCGGGGTTCCGCAGCTCCCACGCCGCCCTGTCGTGGCATGGAGAGTTCTTTGCGTTGATCTGGAGCAGCCCTGGACCGTGACCTTTAGGTTTGCCTCAATACAGTTTAGTACTGGGCTTAGCTTTCCCAAGGAAAGGACACCTGTGTTCCCCATGGGCTGTAGGTGAGCATCCGGAGTAAGTCTTTGGCCTTGGCCCCTGTTCAAGTGGTCTTGGTAGCTGCGAGTGTAGTAGTGTGTTTGTAAAAGAAAAAAAAAAAGCCTCTGTTTCTAGTCTACTGGGCTCATTTAGCAGTTTTTCACGAAGTACTGAAGATTCAGTGTTCTGGCTCAGTGGGAGATGTATACTTAAACTCATGGGTTCTCAGGGAAATTTTTGGGACATGGCTAGGTCTTGCAGTTCGTTTTGAAGCAAGCATCCTTCTGGCCCGTGGAGGGCGCTCTCCTGAGAGCGAGAGTTTCTGGGAGCAGCTTGTTCTCAGGAGACTGAAACTCATTTTTCTGCCTCCCTCTGTGCCTTGTAACTTGGGAGGTGTGAAGTGACTCACACTGAGTTCCTCCGGAGGCTCGTTCTCCTGAGAACCTTAGGTGGTATGATTCCTGTAGATTAACAACCTGAGGTTGAGAAGGGACATGGGGAAGTTAAGTGCACTGGCTAACAGTTCTCAGAGGCAGGCTGCTGGGGATCTAAAGCCACACAATCACTGAACTTTCCGGTTTTCTGGAGTTTATGTTGTTGCATTTTGTGCTTGTTTTGGCTCTGGTGTGAGACAGTATAAGGTGTATACAATTACCCACAGGACATGGGTTGTATGAGGAACAGATAGATACCTCTAGTTAAAACCCAGCTCAAGCCATACGTAGTGGCACATGTGTTTAATTCCAGCAGAGGAGGAGGCAGAGTCAGGCTGTGTGAGTTTGAGGTCAGTCTGGTCTGAAAAGCTAGTTCCAGGACCGATAGGGCTGTTTATAAAGAGAAACTCTGTCTTGAAAAATCAACCAGTCAACAAACAAAAACAAAAACCACAAAAAGCAGCCCAGCTTGGTATATGGCAAGTGCCACAGCCTTAATTATCGTTATTGCCTAAGATCATACAGTCTGTGCCCACAGAGGTACCTGTGATTCAGACCCGTTTTTAACTCCCTAGCCCTGCCCAGTAAGGGCTGGTCTAGAATGGTCTACTCACAAGGAAAAGTCTGTTGCCTACGGATGAGGCTTTAGGGGTGTAGGCTGGGATAGGTGGAAGGAATATTACTTCTTTAGTTTAATGATATTTCTTATTACATATGTATGGGCCAAATTAGGTGAGAGAATTTTATCAGAGTCCTGACAGGAAGCCAGCTTTTTTTTTCTTTTTTTTTTCTTTTCTTTTTTTTTGGGGGGGGGGAAGCCAGTTTCATATCAGATGATCCAACTATGACATCTTAACTAAGGGATTATCTACAGGCATAGGCAAGGTGGCATGACTATGTGATTATGGGAACAAACAAGGGATGATGGCAGACTCACAGCAGGCATTCTCCACCCTGCCTGCTGGGTAGGGGAAGGAGTCTGTTACCAACACCCAGCTGAAATCCAGAGCAGAGTAGAGTGGAGTGGCAGGCACAATGGCAAAGTCACATTCTCTCTTAAACATCTTTCCTAGGCTATGTCTCTTGGTCTCTCTACCATGGGCTTGGACCCATGATCTACTACTTTCCCATGCAAACGCTGGAGCTCACGGGGCTGGAGTTATTTGGCGTAGCCTTTCTCTCTCCGATACTCTTAATAATTCCTCCATTCTGGAAACTCGTTAATAAGAAGTGGACACTCTCCCTGCTGAAGATCATCACTGTTGGTAAGATCTCAGCATCTGAGATTCTTCTGTTAGTCAAAAGCAAACGGTGTAGACTATTCACTCTGTGGGGAATGGTTAACTTTCAAAAATCACCAGTTTCTGTTCCTTACTATCCCCTCAGGAGGAAATGTAGTGAAATGAAAACTACACCGAGTCAATCCTTTTTTTATTTTTTCTTTAACATCTCTGCCTGACTGGAAAAATATAAGATTCACTGGAATAAGGAGGAGAAAGGTACATTGGGAAACAGGCCATCTATGATAAGACTTAGAAGTGATGAGAAAGATGGCCCAATGGTACTGCATAAGAAATGAGAATTATGTATCCAAAACATCACAGCAGGTGACCAAACAGTGGTTGAAAACTATTTGAAATGCTGCTACTCAAAGGGCTGACTCCCAAACAGTTTCAATAAACTAAAAATAAAAGACCAAAAGTGAACTAGAAAACCAGAAGAAGATGTATGCAGCCCCTGGAAAGGAAATACAATTAGTTCTTTAAAACACAATAAAATTGGGCTATCAAAATGATTTAGTAGGTAAGGGCATTTGCTGTCAAGCCTGACGACCTGAGTTCTATCCCTGCGTCCCACGTAATGGAAAGAGAAACAATGCCCATGGGTTGTCCTTTCACCTCTATATATGACATTTACTTGTGTGAGCAGGCATATGCTCACATACTCACACACACAATAAACGTAATAAAAAATTTCAAAATGACAAAACACACACAGCATAAATGATGCATACATATTTATGGCTTCACGGATTGATTGACAGAGGGAAAAAATATAACACTATATTGTTAAGGTTGAGAAGACAGGTGTACAAGCATGGCTGGCGGGTACATAAATCAGCACAAACTTTAAGGAGGTCAATTTAACAGCACAGAGCTTTCCCCCCAGCAACCCCATTTCCCAGTCTGTGTCCTACATATACATCCGCATATACATGATATGTTGAACGTATGAATCATTGCAGGGATATTTACAATGGTAGTACAGGAATGACCCAAATGTAATCTCCTAAGACATTGATTAAATTAAATAAGCAATGATTATGAAACTTGGACTATTTTGCAGCTCCAGAAAGGGAGTATTATTAATAGATTTAAAAAAGAAAAAATATGAGCTCAAATCTGCTTGGAGCTGTAGCTGAAAGTCAGGACCTCTTACCCTCCTGTCGCTTTTCTTACGGTTTTTTTTTTTTTTTTTTTTTTTTTTTTTTTTTTTTTTTTTTGTGAGCTACCCCGGGGCAGATCTGTCTGGAAGGTGACATGTCACATTTTCAGGAGCAGTGTTTAGAGTCCGTAGGAAAGCAGACAGGCCCTTTGCTCTCCCTGTCCTTGAAGAAGGCAGACCATAGTACAGAGAGTTCTGCGATTCCCCATGAAGGTGTATTTTTAGAATGAGGTTTCAGAAGTAATAGTGGGGAGCGACTCCTGGACACTTCCCTTTACAAGGATGGTGTCTATCAGAAATGGTCTGCTGTGGATGATGGAAATGAAGCTGCCTGCCTGGTACTGTCTGCACAAACTGCTTGATTGGCATTGCAGTTGGCTTTTGGTTTCTGTAGGTGAGTCATGCAACCTTAGCCTTACAAGACTTGGTTTCTCACCACATCCCAAGTTGGCTTCTATGGCAGGATTTTCTGTGACACTGTGGTACAGTAAGTCTGGGTACAGTCTTTGGATTCCCTTATTGCTGTGTTGAAATACCTACTAACAAGGCAGCCTAAGGGAAGGAAAGTTGGTTTGGATCCCCGTGTGGGGACACAATCCATCAAGACAAGAAAAGTGAGACATCTGGTTATGTGAACGTGAGTCTTCTGACACTATTAATCCACCATAGAAACTTCCTCACAACCTGGGCTGTGGTAGTGCATTCCTTTAATCCCAGCACTCAGGAGTCAGAGGCATGCAGATCTCTGTGAGTTCGAGGCCAGCCTGGTCTACAAAATGAGTGCCAGGATAGCCTCCAAAGCCACACAGAGAAATGCTGTCTTGAAAAACCAAACCAAACCAAACCAAAACCAAAACAAAAAAGAAAACCCTCCTCACAAACATGCCTTGGAGTTTTTCTCCTAGGTGATGGTAGATGCTGTGACGTTGACAACCAATATTGGCAATCCCAAAAGCTAGTAATGACACTCCCAGTGTTACTTCAGCTAACCTTCTGCCTTCATGTAACCCAGCTCCCTGAGTGGAAGAACTATAGAAATGGGTAGGAAGGGAAATCATTCAGAGCTGAGGAGGAAGAGGCCATCTTGGCCAAGTGCTGCCCCTGGTGACCACTGGACACAGTGGATGTGCCACAGAGGCTACAATTCATTTGAAACCCCTCAATGTCACCTCTGGCACCTCAGGTATGTGAATCAATCATCATGCAGTTAACTATGAAATGAACTTACACTCATTGACCTAGATTATTCTGGCTCATTCGGACAGCTAAAATAAAAAAGACAATCCCGGGGCTGGAGAGATGCCTCAGAGGTTAAGAGCACCGACTGCTCTTCCAGAGGTCCTGAGTTCAATTCCCAGCAACCACATGGTGGCTCACAACCATCTGTAATAATGAGATCTGGTGCCCTCTTCTGGTGTGCAGATATACATGGAAGCAGAATGTTATATACATAATAAATAAATTAAAAAAAAAGACTATACCAAGTGCTGGCAAAAACGTGGAGCAGCTGAGTTTTCCCTTGTTGTTGACAGAAGTGTAAGCAATGTAAACAGCTCTGGGAAGCTGTTTGGCAGGGCCTTGGGTATTAAGCAGAACTCCACGCCTTGTCATATACTCTAGAAATATGTTCATACAGAAACTTGTGTACATGTGTTCATAGCAGTGTTCTTCATGAAAGTCCAGGCATAGAAGCAACCAAGTGCCTATCACCTGACAAATGGATAAACAAAATAGAGTTTATTTATGCAATGGAATATTATTTAGCCATAAGAGAGTGAAGGACTGATCTAGGTGACAATATGGATATGCCTTGAAAGCATTATGCAGAGAGAAAGAAGCCAGCTACAAAGGGACACATACTACTGTAAGATTCTACTTACATGAAATTCCCCAGATTAAAAAAAAATCCATGGAGACAGGTTAGTGATTGCTGGGGGCATGGGCATGGAAGAGGAGTGATGCTGATGAGAAGGGGAATTCTTTTGGGGGTGGAGAGGGTGTTCTGGAATTAATGGGGATAGATGACAACTTTGTGAATGTACCAAAAACCTATTAAGTTGCATACTCTAACATGATGAACCTTATGTGAAAATTCTACCTAAACGAATACAAATGAAGTATGTGTATGGGTATCTGTTAATTCTATCTTTTTAAAGGTAAAGACAGGACCAGACACCGTGCTTATCAAACACAGGTTGTCAGGTGCCAGGGCATGCTTGCCAGCTCATTTATCCCTTGTCTGTTTGTAGGCAGCATAGCCTCCTTTGAGGCTCCAAACGCCAAGCTTCGATTGGTGGTCCTTGCACTTGGTGTGTCCTCTTCACTGATAGTGCAAGCTGTGAGCTGGTGGTCAGGAAGTGGATGGCAAAGGTATGACTCATGTCTCTTGTACCTATAGACAAACAGGTATGACCAGTTCCCAGAGGGAAATTCTGGCCATTGGTTTCAGAGCAGTTTTCCCTTTTACGGGGCCTTGTACAAGTTCCCTTTCCTTTGCCATCAATCTTATTTTGCTTTCTTGGTACTAGGGACTGAACCCAGGGATTATGTTTATTTGATAGTCTCCCTGCTATTTTGGGATACTTCAGCCCCAATAAAGTTTAAACATTTGAAAAAATTAGATTTATTTATTTTCTAAATGTGTGTGTGTGTGTGTGTGTGTGTGTGTGTGTGTGTGTGTGTGTGTGTGTAGTCCAGAGGACAATTTTTAGTAGTTGCTTCTCTCTTTTCACCACGTGGGTCCCAGGGAATCAAACTCAGGTAGCCAGCTTTGGCAGCAAGCGCCTTAACTTCCTAAGGCTTCTCATTGGTCCCATAGGCAATAGAAATCAGACTTGGTTTTTTGGGGGGTGGGGGAAGGTGCATGGTGGGAGGTTGGACCTGGGAGGAATGGAAAGCAAGTGTTACTGGGGTGCATTGTATGAAATTCCCAAATAATTAAAAAAATGTTTTGCTTGAAAAATTATTATAAGTTACCTGGTAGATAATGGACTCTACAAAGGCTAAGTCAGGGACTTAGCTGAAGATTGCTAGCAACACAACTACAGATCCACACCCTGTGGAAGAAACCCATAGTGGATGTAGTACATTGAATCCACACTTAAAGTCTGCAATAAACGACTCTCACTTCCAGGTACCTCAAAATCTGGGGATTCATTTTGGGACATATGCTTCTTGTTGTCCTCCGCATATGGTACACATCATTAAACCCGATTTGGAGTTATGAGATGTCCAACCAAGTGATACTGACGTTGAGTGCCATAGCTGTGTTTGACCGCATTGGCACAGGTGAGGGTGTAGTCAGCTTATCTGGGGATCTTCTCTCTGATGGCATCTGTCTCTCTCTCCCCTATGCAATAACACATCTGAAAAAGAACTCTGTCTTTGGTGGTGCTGGGAATCAAATCCAGAGTCTCCTGCATGCCAGGCAAGCATTCTACCAACTGAGCTAAACCCCTAGCCCCAAGACAACTTGTAAAAATAGCTTTCTGTACTGTAGCTCCATTTCAGCTTTCCCTCTGTTGAGCAATAATAGACACAGACAATGGGTTGTTATGTAGGGAGATAGTCCGGGTTCCTTGGCAATGCAGACATTGCTGGCAGAAAGTATTGAGAAACTGTGGGAGGGATGCACCCATTTGTCCATGGAAGACTCAAGCAGATCTTGTACTCAACTCAGTTCACCTGTTTTCTTCTCCACTTCTCTGCTTGGGGTGGGATGGGATGCCTTTCTCGGCATCCATCTGCTCATCTTTTCCAACCCTCAGACTCTTCCAGTATCTGAACATAGCAGGTTTTCTTTGCCTTTCTATTTGAAGATGTTCTGGGTGTTAGGGGCTGGTGACACCCCAGATGACTGCCTTTTATTCAATAAATAGAGCTTAGATGACCTTTCTGGACTCTCAGCTTGATCCTTGACCTCTCTCTGTCCTCACCACCGGCTCTCACCCTTCCCCTCCCCATAGCTGTTGGCCTACTCCTTCCTCTGACCTTGCTCTTGTCATAAGAGCTTTCTTCTTCTCAGTAAAATTAGGCCACCAGTCACAGAGGCAGACCCCATGGCTGCCTTCTGCCCGGTAGAAGCCTTTATGGAGCTGCAAAGCATCTCTCCAGTTATTTCTTTGTGTGGATACAAAGACATTCTCCTGCCAATATTTCCTTCTATGGCCTCAATTTAGTGTGTGAAGTTGTGGCTTTGATGAGAGCCTGGTCAAACAGTACTTTTGATCAGGCAAGCACAACACTTAGGGAGGCAGACTGCCTTAGGGCCAGTGCCAGTTCCTCTTTATTGGCTGGGTGATCTTGGACCAGTTAGTTGCTCTCTCTGGGCTTGGATTCTAACCTGCAAAATGGGATTAGTATCACTGTAGACCTCAGACATCGGGAAAGATGAAGTGAGTTGTGTAGAGAGGGGCTCACACAGTCGAGGCTCATTGACCCACAGTCATGATTCAGGTACTTAAGAGTGTTCAATGGGATCCTATTCTTTCACAAGAAAGCAGCCTTTGGTGCTGGGATGTTGCATTCAAGTTGGTAATGCTTGTTCTCTTGAGATAACATTCTCTCCCCCCTGCCCCCACCCCTGCACCCATATTTCTCACACTCTATTACCTTCACATGAATTTAGTACCTTTCTGGGGTTTTACCTGTCAGTTTTACCTGCTTTCCCTCACACTACACCATAGCTAGCCAGAAATGATCCCTCCCATCAAATAGCTCTGGCACATTCGACCTCTTAGAGTTGTGATCTCCCCTCTCCTATAGAAAGTTCTTGAAGCCATGGACCATTTCCAACTACTGAGCGTCTGGTGAGAACAGGCTGCTTTCCCTTTGCCCTTCTTCTTTCCCTCTTTTCTTTTTTCTTTTTTGATTGTAGATGGTGACTACAGTAACTCTGAGGGGAAGAAGCCCAGCGAGGTCACCAAGGGCATGGCCTCTCGATCTAGCTGGCTGTTGCCAGGTGCCGCCTTTGGGAGCCTCATGTTCCTCACACACTGGATCTTTGGAGAGGTCTCTATTATTTCCAGATGGGCAGTGAGTGGCTATCCTCATCCAGGCCCTGATCCTATCCTATTTGGGTGAGTTCAGCTTCGTGAGCTGTGTGTGGGGCGGGGGGTGCGGGGAGGAGCCAGAAGAGTGTCTGCTCTGCGCTACAGGGTTGTAGGAAAGTTGAGGGGAGCTGAGGGCTGTACAGAAGTGGGTCCCACATTCCTGCATGGGGAACATGGGGAATCCCTTGTGGAAGGGAAGGCACGCCATCTGCTGGTCATTCTCAGACCCTCTGATGATGGCATTGGGTGTTTGTTGGGATAGATAACAGTGTCACTAGGAGAGCCGAGACTCTTCCCTATGCTCTCCTCTGCAGATGGGCAGAATAATACTGTTTTCCTCATAAACTCAAGAGAGTTAAGTGAATGACGACACAGGTGACAGTCCTAAAACAGTGCCTGGTGTGTAGCAAGTGCTGGGTTTGAAGATAGATTTCAGCTGGGTGAGCAATATGATGTTGCAGCTCCCATTGCTAATGGATTTCCCACTGGCATTTACTTTAGTTATTATTATTATTTTTTTAAAAAATGTATGAGTAAACCTATGCATCCATGTGTGCAATGTGTGTGTGACTGATGCTGGGAGAGGCCAGAAGAGGATGTCAGATCTCCCAGAACTGCAGTTATAGATGTTCATGAGCCACCATGTGGGTGCTGGGAACCAAACCCAGGTCCTCTGCAAGAATGACAAGTGTTCTTAACTGCTGAGACATCTTTCCAGCCTACTTAAATTCTCTCCTGTTCAGTTTTTATAAAAATAACAAAACAATGACATAGCTTTTGATAGTTAAGAATAAATAAAGCTGTCGAACTGTCACTTAGTCAAACTGTCACTTATGTTAGCAAAGAAGACACTAGATAAAAGCAGTACTGTGCTAGAATAAAGAAAGGAAAAAAGGAAAACTCCACAACAAACATCATCAATGACTTTTCCTTTGGTCTTCAGAAGAGTCATGTGAAATGAGCTGTAACTTAAGAGTTGAGAATTCAGTTGTTGTGTCTACATTGACCATGAAAGACTACAGGTGTTAGATGGTTTGCTACTTCAATGTTCTATTTTGCTTTGTTTTATTTTTGGCTCTGGATAGTAATGCCAGGGTCTCCTGTGTGCTGCTACCCTTTTACTGAGCCACACCATCAATTCTCCTTGAGTGTCCTGTGTACTGGTTCCCAGTGGCTCTCATTATCTCGATTGTTCCATATCCACAGTGTGATATGAACGATATAGCTAGAGATAGTAGATAGATTTCTGATCGATGTTTGATTGATTGATTTTTGCCTTTTATTTTTATTTATTTACAGAGGTGTGGTTCTGCTGAGCTTGGCAAGTGGTTTGATGCTTTCAGGTTCCCCATGGCTTCATGATGCTGGGTTAGCCTGGTGGGTGATAGGTATGTGGAACTGACCTGCAGATGCATTGTCATTGCCCCAGACAGTAAAGTGTCTGCTATAGATATATCAAAGGACGATAACAAAAATGTATATTGTCTATGGAAGGCTTAATATGGATGGATCAAGGCTGATATCATAGGAATTAGAAGGAAAGTTATATGACTTAGTATTGTCTTAATATTGGTTAAGGAACTGCCTTCCATGGACCAGGTAGAATGCATAGCCTGACCTGGCAGGTTCTGGAAAACCAATGGACAGAGTGTGGACTTGGTCCAGCAGTGACTATGTTTCTGGGATCTTAGTTGTGCCCTCTCTTGGGTCTGTGTGCTTGGAGAAACCAGTGCATTCACTTCCAGATAGCACTTAAATGGGCAATAATTGCTTAGAAAGTGCCTTAGCAGAAATGTTCTAGAAATCATATAGATCCTATGTTTTCTGCTGTCCTGTGACTGCATGGTTGTATTTAATGAACATACTTCTAATTTTGCAAATAATTTTGTTTTTTATTTCCATGAAGATTGTAAGGCTAGCTACTTCAGTGCCCACCCCTACCTCCTTCCCAAAGAACAAGCATTGACCTGAGATTTGCTGCACTGTCAACTTCTAGGAGTGCCAGGGCTGGGCTGTGGCTTTGAGGAGGCCACGTTCAGCTGCTGCACTTTGGTTTGCCTGGGAGTTGAGATTCAACCAGTGGGCTCCTGATCCTTTCCAGCTCTCACCCACTGTGAACTGGTCATGCCAGGAGCTTTGCGTGTTCTCATGACTGACTCAACCTCTTTTTTCTTTTTCTTTGTTTCTTACAAACAGGGGCTGCTTCGGCCCTGGGTCTCCTTTTCCTGCGCACATGGGCTGCAGCGGTTTCTGGATGTATGCTGGCAGTCTTCACGGGGTCCATGTGGCCTCAAGTACTTGGACACCTTGTGAACTCAGGGACAAACCCTGGGGAGTCCATGGCCACTGCCATGGCCATTTATCTTTTAGAAATATTTTTCTGTGCCTGGTGCACAGCTTTTAAGTTTGTTCCTGGAGGTGTCTACGCTAGAGAAAGATCTGATGTGCTTTTGGGTGAGTACAAGTTAACAGATCCAGTTAAAGAAACTGACCCAAGTTCCTGAAGACTGGCCAGGCCTTAGAATCTTATATGACTTCTAGAAATAAATAGGACAGCCCATGTTCTTGTTAAGCTGGATTCTAGATAAAGAAAGCCCAGAAGAATGACTAAATTGTAATGAAAAATAAATGTCATCATTTGTTGCTGAAATGAAGTGCATTTCTACAATATTTATTACTACACTGACCGTTAAAATGAATTAACTTTGCCTGGCGTGGTGGTATACACTTTCAATATCAGTCTTTTGGAAGCAGAGGCAGGTGGATCTCTGTGAGTTCTAGCCCAGCCTCATCTATATACTGAGTTCCAGCTTAGCTAGGGTTATGTAGTAAGACTATGCCTCAAATTAACAAGCAAATAAAATGAGTTAGTTGAGAAAAAAAGTGTCTAAACCTTAAGAAAGCCTATGTGTAAATTTTAGTGTCATAAACTCACCCAAATTAAATGTCCTAAGATTTTTTAAAAAAAATTTTTAAGTTATTTTTCTAGGAAAAAAATGAAGTTACTGATTTGTACCCAGTGTATAGAAAACCAACATTGTCAATCTCTCTTTTTCTTTCTCTTTTTTGTGACAATTTTACTTTGTAGCTTAGGCTGGCCTGGAATTCACTCTATGGATCATGCTACCTTAAGCTCATGGGAATCCTTCTGCCTCAGCCTCTAAATCCCTGGGATTATAGGTGTGAGCCATTAGAACCTGCTACCATTCTAGAATTGACATACAGTGTGTCGAGTCCTTTCACAGCAAAGCCTAAGACAACAGGGAGGCGTTGGAGGGATTCAGCAGTTCTGGCTTGGTCATGGTTTCAGTTTTATACTTGTTCATTTACTCATAAAATTATTGTGCATGCACTATGCTCCCAGCACAGTGCCAGGTGCTGAAGATGCGAAGTACCTGGTGTTGCTCCCCACTGGCAACTCCCCTGGAATGAGGGAAGGGACCATACATGGGTAAAACAAACCCTGAGCACTTTTCCACCTGATGGGAGAGATGTGGCTTCCACCCATGTTCTCCCAGCACTGTAGTTCACATCCACCTTCCTATCCCACGAGCTACACCTGTCAGGACAGCTGCTCTGGAAGACTCACTGTGAAGTGAAGCAGGATCTTTGAGAAACAGCCTTTGAGAATTCCCTATTTCGGGTCTGGGCTGGAGCTTTCACCTCCTTAGAGGAACATAGAGCCATGACCACAACTCCTCTCAAACCCTTCCCCACCTCCCTACCCACCCAACTTCACGTTCTTTCTCTTTATTAAAACAAACAAACAAACTGAGAAACAAATAACCCACACACACAAAAAAAAACAAACAAACAAAAAAACAGAGCCTGATTTGTGTTTACCAACTACTCTAGGCACGGGGTCTACACTGGAGTGTGGTTGACATCCCCAGTGTCACTCTATTGAGGAAAACAGATTTCCCCCTCTCCCAGCAGATATCAATTACAAACAGCTTCTTGCTTAGCGGGTGGGACTTTGCGCCCAGTTTCTCACATTTTCTCTGCAGGTGCCTGGCTTTGCAAACTTCCTAATTCTTGTGGTTTCTTTCAGGTGGGTCTACTGTCTGGGCTCTGCTTTCTCCGGTGTCCTGCTTTTTTCTCACTCTGGCTTGTTCAGGGTGTTGCCAGGTGGAGACGGGAGAGAAAGTAAGAGCTGTGCTGTCCCTAACTTTGTTTCTTTGGAGCACTATGAATGATGGGCTTTGCAAGTTCATTGTCTTTACTCATAGAAACAGTGCTTTATTTCAGTTTCATACAAATGAGAACCTTCCTTAGGAAGAATGACATAGTAAAAAGGCAAGGGAAGTTGACAATGTGAAGTAGCTTTCTACAAAATGTTTTTCTTTGGTCTTTGAGAATTACATACAATACATTTTGATCATATTCTTTCCCCTTCCCCAACTCCTCCAAGCTCTTCCTCCACCTCCCTACCTACCCAACCTCACGTTCTTTTTCTCCATTAAAACAAACAAAATAGGAAAGTGCACAAAAAAGCATAGAGACTGATTTGTGTTAGCCAACCACTACTAAGCACGGGACCCACCCTGGAGTGTGCTTGATATATCCCGTGTCACTCCGTTGAGGAAAATTGATTTTCCCTCTCCCAGCAGATATTAATTGCAAGTAGCTTCTTAGTTAGTGGTGGAACTTTGTGTTCGCCCCCCTGTCTTTATGCTGGGATTTTTGTCTGGTTTGAACCTGTGCCAGGTCTTGTGCATGCTGTCACAGTCTCTGTGAGTTCATATGTCCCTCAGTCCTATTGAGTCTAAAAATAATGTTTCCTTGGAGTGATCCTCTTACAGTATTTCTGTCCCCCTCTTCTGCATAGTCCTGAGCCTTGAGGGGAAAGTTGAGATAAAGACATCCCTTTTAGGGCTGTGTACTGTGAAGTCTCTCATTCTCTGTGCATTGTCCAGTTGTGGGTCTCTGTGTTAATTAATATCTTCTGCAAGAAGCTTCTATGAGGGTTGAGTGAGCTACTGATCTATGGATGTATCAGTATGTCATTGGGAGTCATTTTATTCCTAAAACCATTTAGCAGAATAATAGTAGTAGGTTTTCCCCTAGGACCTATGACCTGTCTAGTTTCAGGTTCTCAGCCTCAGTGAAAGTGTCACTTATGGGTTTCATTTCATTGAGTGGGCCTAAATCAGATTTTTTTTTAAGTAGTTGGTTACTTCATGCCACTATTTTCACTTATGGGTTTCATTTCATTGAGTGGGCCTAAATCAGATTTTTTTTTTAAGTAGTTGGTTACTTCCATGACTTACATGCCACTATTCAATCAGTGGACATAGATTGCAGCCAGGTTGTTGTTGTAGTTCTCAGCTTCTGACCATATTATTCTCTGCAAAAGTAATAAGTGCTCTTAACCACTGAGCTGTCTTTCCAGCCTCAATCTCACCATTTTTTTAAAAAAGGAATTATTATATATAATACTGGGTATTGAATCTAGGGGCTCATGAATGCTAGGCAAGCACTTTGCCACTGAGTTATGTCTCATCCCTCTTTTTTTCCCTCTCTTTCAACAGGGACCATAATGGTAATTATTGGATTGAGTATGCTGTTTGGACCTAAGAAAAACCTTGACTTTCTTCTTCAAACAAATAATAGTCCTAAAGTGCTTTTGAGAAGGAGTGAAAAATACATGAAACTTAGTAAGTATAGTTTTACTTGCTTTTAAAAAGTTTGGTGTATAAATTTTATTTACTTTTTCTTCCTTTATTTTTCTTTTCGTCTTGTGACACAGGATCTTTTGTTTATTTGTTTGCTTTCTCTTTGTAGCCCTGGCTGTCCTATAACTTGCTCTGTAGACCTGGCCTTGAACTCATGGAGATCTGCCTGCCTCTGCCACCCAAGTGCTGTGTTTAAAGGCATGCACTATTATTGCCCATCTTGAGACAGGGTCTTTTTATATAGTTCTGGCTGTCCTGAAGCTCACTATGTAGACTAGACTGGCCATGAATTCACAAAGATCTTCCTGAACTCACAGAGATCCGTTTATCTCAGTCTCCTCAGTGCTGGGATTAAAGGTGTATGCCACCATGCCTGGCTCATGTTGTATACATTTTCCAACATGAAATTTAAGAGTAACACAAAGCCTGCTGTGCCTTTCACTTGGCTGCAACAACCCTTTGTATTTTGCTACCATTTATCTTTGTTTGCTTCCTGCCTGTTTTGGTTTGTTGAAACTTGTTTAACAATGCAAAGATGTGCTGCATTTGTTTATGTAAAGATGTGTTGCATTTGTTTAATTATGTAAAGATGAGTTTTTGTTTTACCTTGCCTGCCTAAGGCACCTGATTGGTCTAATAAAAAACTGAACAGTCAATTCTGAGGGAGGAGGTCTAGGCTTCTGGAACTTGTAGGTAGGGGGAGGAAGTAGGGGGAGGAATTTAGGCTGGGAACAAAAGAAGAGGAGCTGACAAGGAGATGCCAGGGGCAGCCAGCCAGACATGGAGGAAGATGGAAAGTAGGACATACAGAATAATACAGAAAAGCAAAAAGCCCTGAGGCAAAATGTAGAGGAATAGTAACAGCATGTGTAATAGTAACAGATTAAATTGAAAGAGCTAGTAGGACATGCCTAAGCTAAGGCCGTGTATTAATAATTAATAAGAAGTCTCCAAGTCATTATTTGGGAGCTGGTTGGTGACCCAAAGAAAAATCACAATTACAGAAACACATTTAAGCAAGTTCCTGACATTGTGGCATTTCATATCCTATATGATTTTACTTCACTTTCTTTAAAAAAAAAAGATTTATTTATTTTTTATGTATACAGTATTCTGCCTGCATGCCGGAAAAGGGCACCAGATCTCATTATAGATGGTTATGAGTCACTATGTGGTTGCTGGGAATTGAACTCACAACCTGAACCCCTGCTCTTAACCACTGAGCCATCTCTCCAGCCCCTTATTTCACTTTTAACATAGAAAGTTTATGAGGTTGATTTTCAAGACGTTTCTTTCTGGCAGTTGAGACCATGTATGCCATCTTTTATTCTCTTGCTTTGGAAGATTAAACATGTTAACATTAGTATGTTGATAAACTATAGACACACATGAAATAAGTTTGCCATTTAATATCTGACTCATTTTAAATGAACTGGATCACATATAAATGCTTAGTGACTGTATGCAATGTGATGTTATGTAGGATACAAAGACATGTGAACACTGGTGTATGCCCTCAAAATCTGAAACTTTACAAAGAAGACAAAATATTATTATAAAAAGAGAGAGACAACAACTGAAACTATATATATTCAAATATTTCTTCAAAATACTTCGGAATGCTGTGTCACAAAGAGTCACACCACTATATAAAACCTGTCACGAATGTGTCACTATAGCTTGGGAAGGTCATGTGTAGATTGAGATCTTCTCAATGTGTTTGCCAGCCACAGCTTCACTGTGAACTCCTGGAGATGGAGTTCATCATCACCTGCTTGGGAGTCTTTGGCTTTTCCACTCTGGAGATTCCTGAGTTTCTTAGTTCTGGGACATCCTCAACATAGCTATTTTCTCGTTCTCTTTCCTCTTTCCTTTTGGATGCCAACTGGTTGTATTGGGCCTTCTGTTATTTCTGTTTTTAAGTACTTTCAATTTTCCTGCCTCTGTTTTATTTTTTAAAAAATTAAAAATGCATGTTTATTTGTTTATTCAGTGTGCATGGGGGGGCAGGTCATGTGTATGAAGTCAGAGAACAACTTAAGAGAATCTGTTCTTTTGTTCCATCGGGTAGGTGCTGGGGAAAAAAACTCAGATCCTCAGTCTTGGTAGCATATGCCTTTACCTGTTGAGCCATCTTGCTGGCCCCCTACCTCTGTGTTGTCTTTTGCATTAATTCTCCTTTAAGCTTTGTCTAATTTGGTCTGTCTTTTGCCTATTGAATTTTTTTCTCACTCATTAAATTAGGTTTTTTTTATTTCCATGTTTTATTTTATGGGTATGAGTGTTCGCCAGCACCTATGTCTGTGTACCATATGCATGCCTGGTGCCCATGGAGGCCAGAAGAGGCTGTCAATTCCCCTGGAACTAGAGTAATAGACAGTTGTAAGCTGCCATATGCTGGGAATCAAACCTGGATCCAGTGCTCTTAGCCCCTGATCCATTGCTCTACCCCTATATTTTTATTTCCAAAAATCTGCCTTATTTCTTTACAAACTTCCATGATTATTTTGTTTTTAGCTTTACATTCCCCAGTCATACTTCTGCATGCCCCTTTCTTTTTACACACGCTAGGCATACTCACTTTGTATTCTGATTCTTAAATTTCCAACATCTAAGGTCTTTGTGTGCTTGGTTCTTCAGGACATCTTTTCCTGCTGTCTTGTGCCTGCAAAAATATCTTTTCTTGTACATTTTGTAGTTTATTCTTACTTTATGTCCATTGCTCTTGGACTGTTTTCAGGGAGTATTCTTCAAAAGCCCGTTTTAAAGTATGGGTAATGTATACATGTTCCACAGAGACTACTTGGTCAATAGATATAAGTAGGGAGACCCAGTAGCCCCTCCCCCAGGTAACCTGGACAGGTGTGCGGGAACAGGGCAGGGTGAGGGGAAGTCTAAGGTGATGTCAGGAAGACTTCTTAAGGGACCCGGGACCTTCCTTTCTTCTGGCCCTTCTTCCGACTCCCTCCTCCTTGCTTTGGCCTGCACTTGGCTGGTGTATCCAAATAAAGAGACCTTGACCCCTTTGACTGCTGGTTGTTCACTCCACAGATATAATTTTGAAAAAGTTATTTAAAGGTTTTAGTTTCTTTTTAATGATCCTTTCTTCTTTTTGTTTAGTTTTGTGGCTGCTTGTTGGTGTGGGGTTGTTAGGATTAGGACTACGGCACAAAATCTATGAGAGGAAACTAGGCCAAGGGGTAAGTAATTGACATTTTTGAAATAAAGTTTTACTTTATGTGTGTGTATACACACATACACGCACGCGCACACACACACACACACACACACTATTGCACAACAATATTCTGTTTTGAAACCTTCATTTGAGAGTGTTTTGGAACCTAGCTTCCTTTTTCTATTTTATTTATTTATTTATTTATTTATTTATATATATATTTTTGGTTTTTCGAGACAGGGTTTCTCTGTGCAGCTTTGGAGCCTATCCTGGCACTCGCTCTGGAGACCAGGCTGGCCTCGAACTCACAGAGATCCACCTGCCTCTGCCTCCCGAGTGCTGGGATTAAAGGCGTGTGCCACCAACGCCTGGCCAAGTTTTTTTTTTTTTCTTTTTCTATTTTAAACTTTTTTTCCTTAGCATATAAAGTGACATTTACATACATACGTACATTGTACATATTCACTCCCATTACTCATTTTTGTCTTCCTGTCTTTTCTTTTAGATAACTTCTTCTCCCACATAGACCTGCCCCCTGCTGCTCTACTGTATATGGATATATCTAGATTATAAATATGAGGAAAAACATGTGATATTTATTTTTCTGAGGCTACCTTAACACAGTAGCCTCACTTTCACTTAACATGGTGATCTCTACTTGCATCCATTTCCATTCAAATGACACCATTTCGTTCTTGTTTATGGCTCAGTAAAACTCCACTGTGTATTATATTGTATTTTCTTTGCTCATTAATCTATTGATGGGCATCTTGGTTGATTTCAAGTATTGGATATTGTAAATACTGCATAAAATATCTCTGTGGTATGTTAACTTAGATTCCTTTAGGTAGACGTCCAGGAGTATAGCCTGATTATATGGAGCTTGTGGTTCAGCTGTTGTTGTAGATGTATTTACTTTTATTTATTTTGGTATGTATTGGTGCCCACAGTGGTTGGAAGGGGACTGGAGTTATAGATGGTTGTGAGCCTACATGTGGGTACTGTGTTCTTATCCACTGAGAAGCCCCATGATTCTAGTGTTTTCTTGAGGAACCTCTCTACTGACTTTCACAGTGGGTGTACTACTTCACATTCTGATGAGAAATACCTAAAGGCTTTGTCATTCTTCACATTTGTTGTCATCTATTTTTTGGACAGTTGTCATGCCCACAATGCAGCTTTAATTTGTATTTTCCTGATGGCTAAAGATGTTCAATGTTTTTTCTTGTGTTTATTTATATTTATATACTATAAATATATTTATATTTATGCCTTTTATATTTATGCCTTTGAAGGGAATGATATGTTTGCTTCGTTAACCAATTTATTGTTGGGGTGATTGGGTTTTGGTTATTTAAATGGTTTTGAGTTCTTTATGTATTATAGATACTAATCCTCTGTCAGGATGTATAGCTGACAAAGATTCTTTCCCATTATGTAGGCTGTGCCTTCACTCACTGCTTGTTTCTTTTGCTATCTGTATATCACTATTTTGACTAAATGCTAGGCCTGGGTGTGATGGCTTTAAGACCCTGGGTCCCATCCCTTTTACTTTTAGATTGATTATATAATAGAATAATTTGGGAAGTTGGATTCTGAGTCAGTGTAGACTCAGTGTAGACCCAGGCAATAGTGGCAACTTGCTCGTGATTTTGGTATATCATTATTTTTCCATTCATGATTTAATATTAAATTATAAAAGAAGAGAGCATTTCATAATTGATGGAGGTTGCTCTACATGTGAATGTGAGAGTCTTTGATTCAAGGAAAATATGAGCAGCAAATCTTGATTTTGTAAATTATGGTTCTCTTGTATATTGGCATTCTGTGGATGTTTTATTATCCTTTGCTTTTTGTAATTTTAAATGTTTAGAAATTCTCTGCTTTTCTAGAAAGAGACAGAAGCAAGTGTAAGTCATTGCAATACTATGTTTTCCATCTAGTAAAAAGATAATTGTATTTCCTAGTGCAGCCAGAGGTACAGTGTGAGTTGAAATATAATTTGCCAGTTTTTTGCTGAATTTTAGTAATCTGTGCTACCAGGGAAAATGTTTTAAATAACATTATTAAATAAAATGCTGTACTGAGGAAGGAGACTCTGTCCATGTTTCTCTGGTTCTCCTCTTCTCTCCCCTCCTTCTCCCCTCCTCTCATTCTCCTCTCCCCTCTCTCTTCTCACCTCCCTTCCCCTCCTCTCCTTCTCTCTCTCCTTCTCCTCTCCTCTCCCCTCCTTCTTCCCACCTCCAAGCAGTACTGGAAACCAAACCCAGGCTTTACTCAGTGACTATTTCTTATTAAATAGATAGTAATGACCCACCAATACAGGTGTCTTTGGATGCTTTTTCCTTGTTAGTTATTATTGTTGCAATATACTCCCCATATGACGAGGATGCCTGACATCAGCCACAAGTTCTTTTTAAGGGAATTGTTTGAGTTTGATTTATTGTTTATTCGTTCATTCATTCATTCATTCATTCACTCACTCACTCACTCATTTGGCTAGTGTTCCTTGATTGCCTCTTGCTATGTTTGGTGCCAGAGGTACATGGAAGAAGCTGGAGAAGATCTCTTCTCTCCCACACTTTGTGTTCTAAATAAAGATGGTATTCATGAAAACAAATGAAGAAAGACTCTGGTTGTAGGCCAGGTGGCCTTTTAGGAAGCAAGGTTGTGTGGAATGGAAAGTTGGAGTCTGGGTGGCTGACATTTGAGAGAAGACTTGAAAGCTGATAAAAAGCCAGTTAGATGCAATTCAGCCTAAAGGAAATGTGTATAAAGGATCCAGGGAGAGCCAGTTTAGAGTGTTTGAGATGCATCAGAGAGACCTTCAGGGCTGAGGTGTTGTGGAGGATGACACAGTTGGAGAGGCTAGGGACAGCCTCATCACACATGGTTCCACCAGCTACAGTAAGACATCTGTGACGGATCAAAAAATAATAGATGTGAACATGACTGCTGTAGAAAAAAAAAGATTGTAGAAGGCTTTTTCAGTGTTCCAAGAAAGAGGTGTTTTGAGTGGAGTGTTGCAGAGACAGGGAGAGAAAAAGATTGTAGAAGGCTTTTTCAGTGTTCCAAGAAAGAGGTGTTTTGAATGGAGTGTGGCAGAGACAAAGAGAGAACTTTAGAACACACACACACCCACACACACACACACACACACAACCCAAAACCCATCACACACACATGCATACATGCATATACATGCACACAAATGCATACAAACATGCACACACACACACCACCATACACATGCATGGGCACACACATGCATACAAACATGTACACACACATATATTTGAAATGGGGGTCTCTCTATGTAACTTGGCTATCCTGAAACTCACAGAGACACTCAAGTCTGCCTCTGCGGTGCTGGAATTGCAGGTTCTTATCCTGAGGATGTTAATTACACTTCTCATTACTGGGCCAAAATGCCTGATAGAACAACCTGGGCTTCAGCTCAGTTTATGGGCACGGGAGGCATAGTGGCCGGGCTCTTTCTGTGGTGGCAGGAGATTGCCTGGTGACCTGTTACACCTGGGCACATCAGGGAACAGAAACCCATAAGCTCTGCCCTTACAGCTCCTCACCTGCCAGTGAGGCTACATGTCCAAAATGTTCCACAACTTCCCAGAACAGCACCATTATCTGGGGTTCAAGTGTTTGAGCATATAAGCCTTGTGGGAATACTTAACATTTAGACTATAACATTGAGTGAGGTGTTTTTGATTGTTTGTTTAAAGATCTATCTTATTTTTAATTATGTGATGTGTATGTGCCTGCGAGTGAACATGTGCAATTGAGTACCAGTGACTTTTCAGGCCAGAAGTGTTGAGTCCCCAGGCAGTTGTGAGCCAAAGGTTATGGGTGCTAGACTCTGAACTCAGGTCCTCTACAAGAGCGGTACACATTTTTAACTGCAGAACCATCTCTCCATCCCAAGGTGTTTTTTAAAAATCAATTTTCATGTATTTCTTCACATTGTTACTATATATTATGGAACTCTAGACAATGTTGCTTTCTGTGGTTTTAATTCCAGATAAATTGCTTGCAACTTACTTTGACATTTTTAACCATAAAATCATCTTTTGGAGATTCATTCACATGGAAATGTATAGCCCAATTATATCTGTTAAGGCTGTATAGGGTTCTATTGCATATATATAACTTCATTTGTTTATGATTTTTTCTATGGTGGGATTAATTTATTGGGAATATTTAGTATTCTATTTTATGTAACAACACATTTATTCTCCTTCCTTCCCTCCCTCCCTCCCTCCCTCTCTTCCTCCCTTCTCTCTCCCTCTCCTCCTTCTTTGCTATTATAAGCAATGCTTATTAGAAACACCTTTCAAACATTTGTCTGAACTGCCAAGTTTAAGCTAGAAGTTCACAGATTTGCTTTCAAAGAACCATAGGATAAACATTTTTATTTTTATGAATTAAGTGTGGGAAAATGTCTATGGGATTTCCTTTGCTGAAAGGTGAACTTTGATAAGGGAGAGGTAGGTAGAGAAGGCTGAGAACCCCAAATTTCCATTGTCCATAGGTACGAAAAATTATCACTTCAACAATTCCTGAGGCACCAGAAAAAGTGGTCTCCGCTGCCATCTGGCCTTTTAGGTTTGGATACGACAATGAGGGATGGCCGAATCTAGAGAGGTCTGCTCAACTGCTGAAGCAGACGGGTGAGTCTTTCTGGAATTTGCTCCAGGTTTTGAGAAACCACTGCTGTTCCTTTTATTTTTGCCGAGTTCCCAGGTCTTAGGATGGCTGCATGTGCTCAAATCCCTCAAGAGGCTTCACTTTGTGGCCAGCTCAGGTCAGACACTTCACCACAGCTGTCTTTTGGAGCAATTAATTCAATGACCCTGAACAGCCTGTCCTACTGAGTATCTGCAGGAGGTTCATCTCACACTCCTGTTGTTAGAGACGTTCCTGCTGGTATCTCTCACCACCTGAGGACCCTCTATTGAGGATCAGGCAAACTATCTAATTACGAAGCAGAAAGTTTATTTAATGTAAAGTGGTGAAAATTGTTTTCAGGGGCTGGAGAGATGGCTCAGTGGTTAGAAGCACTGACTTCTCTTCCAGCTTCAATTTCAGCATCCACACGGCATCTCATACCGGTTTGTAACTCCAGTTGCAGGAGAGCCTACATCCTCATGCAGACACACATGCAGACAAAACACTGATGTGCATAAAATAAGAAAAAAAAAGAAAAGAAAAAGAAAATTGTTTTCAAAAAGCCCCAGGGCCGATCTCATTTGTCTCTGTGCCCTTGAGGAGTTTTCTTTTTATGAAGCTCTCCAAAGTGTGTGGGGATTTGGGTCTCAGGTCAATGTCATGCAGTGTGCAGTGTGAGACAAAGGGCTAAATGGTGCTGGTTATCTCTCATGTGAAACACAGCTCCGAGAAGTGTGAAAGGCTTTGTGAGCACAGTGCCTTTAGTCTTGATTAGAGGGCTCTGGCACATCAGTCCAGAATCTAAGAAAAACTGACAAACTAATTTTTATACCAATATTGTGGAGCTGTTTGCCTTGGACTAAAATGCCATTGTGGGGCTGGGATGTGGCTCAGTGGATAGAGTGCTTGCCTACTATACTCAAAGCCCTGGATTCAATCCCCAACACAGAATAAAATAGGCAGTGTGGTACCTGCACCAGCACTCATAAGTTCAAGGTCATCCTCAGCTACATTAAAAGGCCAGCCTGGGCTAAATAAGACCTTGTCTTAAAAAACACCCAAGGCCCATGTGCACTCTTCTACAATTTTTGAACATAAACTGGGAATTTATGAAAGATGTGAAGATTATTTGGATTTCTGAGAAAGGTGTCATAATATTTTTAAAATGTAGAAAAGTCCTACTTCCCCCTTTCTTAAGATGTCCCAATGCTTTGATTAAATTCTAAGCATCCAGCACAGATGCCAGCCACACGCCTCTTGTGACTCATAAGGAATTATTTGTTTGGGGGGTTGTGAGTAAAGGCCAGGGTCAAGAATAACATTCTGGGGCTAGAGAGATGGCTCAGAGGGTAAGAGCACTCAGAGGTGCTGAGTTTAATTCCCAGCAATCACATGGTGGCTCACAACCATCTATAATGAGATCTGGTACATTCTTTTGGTGGGCAGGCAAATATGCAGGCAGAGTACTGTATACATAATAAATAAATAAATAAATAAATAAATCTTCAAAAACAAAAAAGAAAAAAGAGAGACTAACATTGTGCTGGGTGTGGTGGTATGCGTCTGCAATCCCAGCGCTTGGAAGTTAGCTGTATCAGGATCATGAGTTCGAGGCCAACCCCAACTGCCAAATGAACCCTTGCCTCAACAAAACAAACAATCGCAAAGTCCATACAGCTTTTTGCTAGTTGCTTTTGATAAGGCCAACCCCAACTGCCAAATGAACCCTTGCCTCAACAAAACAAACAATAGCAAAGCCCATACAGCCTTTTGCTAGTTGCTTTTGATATTGCCGTTTTCCTCATGGTCTGCTTTCTGCCCTTTTCCCCAAACAGGTGCAGACTTTATTACCATCTTGGAGAGCGATGCTTCTAAGCCCTTTATTGGGAACAATGACTTAACCACGTGGCTGGGGGAGAAGTTGGGCTTCTATACGGACTTCGGGCCAAGCACCAGGGATCACACATGGGGGTGAGTAGACTTTGGGAATTAGTTCTCAGCAGAGTCCTAAAGAGTAAAGAGCAGTGGCTTGGGATGGGAAGTTAAGATTGTCCTGTGAATATGTCTCTGTGACAGTGTAGAAGGCCACAACACAGTTGACCTTCCATATCAGCTTCTTCACTCCTGGGTTTAAACAACTGGAAATTGAAAATACTTGAGGAATTCTAGAATGTTCCAAAGAGTGGGGCTAGAGAGATGGCTCAGCAGTTAATAGTATTTGCTGCACAACTATGGGGATCACAGTTCAGACCCCAGCACCCACATAGCAAACTGGGCATCTTTGCAAATACCAGAACTCCAGTCCTGAGGGATGTGACCCCCCCTCTTTTTGCCTCTGTGAGCACAGACAGGCACAATTACTAACATACATGTGCATGCATTCCTACATGCAAGCACACGCACGCGCGCGCACGCGCACACATACACACACACACACACACACACACACGAGAGTGTCTTCAAAAAGCAGCAAGTTCCCCCCCAAATAAGATTTGAATTCACCAATCATTAAGTACTATACTGAATTTGTGTGAATGAAATAATGTGTAGGCATTAAATTACTTACTGTAATAACCCAGAGGTGATTTAACACACTCAGGAATACATGTATAGATTGTATGTAAATGTGACATGATTTTACATTAAGACAATTATTTGACATTTGTGGGCATCATGGAGCCAGTCCTATGCAGACACTGAAGGACAACTATAAACATGTTCACAAAGAAGACAACCTGAGATTGTGCTACATAGGGAGAAAACCAGCTCCTGAGAGAGAGTAGTTGGGTGGGTTGTTAGAGTAACAATACAAGTAAAATGGGCTTTTGATCTTCCCAGTGCTGCCTTTTTCGTGTCTTCATGGCATTTACTGAAACACACTTGGTATTGTGATTAGTGACACAGCAAGACAGGCAGAGGCAATGTACTACGAAGCAGACTTCCACAGACATCTTTGCCACATTCCTACTATGAGTGCCTCTCAGTGGATGCCTGTCATCTGACATGACTTTTTAGTACATTTCCTCCATCTCATTTCCGTGATAGGCTGAGATCCACACTGCTCTGTTTCTTTTCATTTTCTGTACACAGGATTATGGTGCTGTCCCGGTACCCAATTGTGAGATCGGAACATCACCTTCTTCCGTCGCCAGAGGGCGAGATTGCACCAGCCATAACTCTGACTGTTAATGTCTCCAACAAACTGGTGGACTTCGTGGTGACACACTTTGGGAATCATGAGTGGGTGTCTTTGCTTTATTTAGTATTATAGAAATGACAGGAAGCGTTATTAAAATATTACTTTGTTTTTTTTAATGAAACAGCCTTTCTGACTTTCTATTCTTAAAAAAAAATCTTAGATTATCTTCCCTGTGTTGTTGATTGTACATATATTTGAGATGCAGTCCTTAGAGATGGCCGTGCAAGACACAACTGCTACTTGTGTAGTAGCTCTCCACACAGGTGACTGTGTTTAGTCCTCGAGTTGTATAGATAAAGGGCCATATTGACCTCATTTTGCACATGAAGACATTAGGTGGACAGAGGTTAGGACAGGACCATACAACAGGAAGAAGCCAGAACCAAGTCCCAGGTCACAAGTGCTTGGAACCACACATTAAACTGCAGAAAACACACACACACACACACACACACACACACACACACACACACACACAGTCCTTAGAGGGTTATCGGCACAAATAGCTGCAGTGTTGGGATCTGAGGACACTAAGTAACATTCCTATCTTTTCTCATGTTTTCAGAACTGACAGGCAGCTGGCTATCTGCACACACTCCTCTAGGTCCTGTCTCCCAGCCTCCTTCAGCAGGAGTTCTCCCACATCCTCGTTCCTGGTGATCTCCCCACATCTTGCTTTGTCCCTGTAACACTCATCAGCTATCTTTCTATGCAAATGCTACCGGGCAGTGGTGGCGGCAGCACACGCCTTTGACTGGCTTGAGAGGGTGGGGTAGGGGTAGAAGCAGGTGGATCTCTAAGTTCGAGGCCAGCCTGATCTACAGAGCAAGTTCTAGGACAGCCAAGATGACGCAGAGAAACCCTGAACCCTGTCTTAGGGGGAGAAGAAAGAAAGGAAGAATGAGGGAGGAAGGGAGGGAGGAAGGGAGGGAGGGAGGCAGGGAGGAAGGGAGGAAGGAAGGAAGGAAGGGAGGAAGGAAGGAACTACTTGTTTACCTATGGATCTATTCCTTGCTCCCATCTGTTTCTATACATTGCAAGGAATGAAATTTCCCAAAGTCCTTTGCCTTCTGCTTTCTAGGCAGACTTAGCTAATGAGAGGCACAAGCTGGAAAGACAAGAAAAGGAATAAGCCAGGGCATTTCTCACCCTTTCTCTGTGCTTTATCTGGTGTCTCTGGGAGCCTCTGAGTCTCTTCTGTGACTGCAGTTTCTTTCTGGATGGCCCAATTCCATGGAAGCCCCTGCCACAGTCTAACTCCCTCTAGCTAGTGTTGGCTTCTGACTGCCTCTGTAGTGTTACGTCCTCCTGTCTCTCCTCTAGCTGTAGAGGTGGTGTTGGTGTCTCATTGCTGCTGACCTCTGACTGCATCACTGGTCCCAGACTGGCTTCTCATCACTTAAGTAACCAGTTCCCTACATTAAATTCACATTGTTTGAAACTCCTGGGGCTCCTCTATTTTCCTGATAGGTCAAACAAGTGTGTTCTTTTCTCTGAGATGGTAGACCCCTCAAAAGCTAATGTACTTGCCTACATGCCTACAGTAATTAGTATATTAGTATATTAGTAACAAGATGCGCAGCCAGTATTTGGGCAAGAGAGCAGAGGAGACATTTAGAAAATGTTCAGTAAAAGTAATAGCGTGGCGGGGGCATGGGGGAGGGCTGGAGAGATGGCTCCTAGGTTAAGAGCACCGACTGCTCTTCCAGAGGTCCTGAGTTCAATTCCCAGCAACCACATGGTGGCTCACAGCCATCTATAATGAGATCTGGTGCATGGAGAACACTGTCTATGTAATAAATAAATAAATCTTAAAAAAGAAAAAAAGTAACAGTGTGGGTTGCACAAGCCTGGATTGTTCTATGGAGGTTCCAACTCTCCCTGAGTTCAAGGTCAGCCTGGTCTACAGAGTGAGTTCTAGGACAGCCAGGGCTGCAAAAAGAAGTCCTGTCTCAAAGACAACAAAACAAAAACAACCCAAAAAGTCAAACAAAGATCCTCCAGAATGCCAATGTCAGGCAGCTGTTAGTCCTTTAGCTTCGATGACCAGGGCCCACATCGCTGTCACACTTCCTCCTTTTACTTGTGTATTTACAGTGTTGGAGAGTAAGCACGGAGCCTTCATGTATGTGAGGCAAATGTTCTACCTTGACGAGTTACATCGTCACCTCTGCCATGACTTATTCATAATGAAGAAAAATGGAACAAATTCTGTATTTTGGCATAGAAACATAAAGATCTGTTTGCTCTTCAATCTGTGTGCCTGTGCCTATGCCTGTGAGTGGGGATGTACACCTAAGTGTGAGTGCCTGAGAAGCCGGAAGAGAGAGTGACAGGTGCCTTGAATCTGAAGTCACAGGCAGTTGTGAGCTGGCTGACATAGATGCTAGGAACCAAATCCCATTCCTCTCCAAGAGCCACAAGTACTCTGGAGTGCTAAGCCATCTCTTAAGCCCCAGCACAGACTTTTTGTTTTTGTTTTTTTTGTTTTTTCTCTGTGTAGCTTTGGAGTCTATCCTCAGGCTGTAGACCAGGCTGGCCTTGAACTCACAGAGATCCACCTTCCTCTGCTTCCTGAGTGCTGGAACTAAAGGTGTGCACCACCACCACCAGGCTCCCAGCAGAGACTTTTAAATCTGCTTGACTCAGTGGTTTCTGAAGAAAGGCCTTTATTAGTCAAGAGTTTGTCAAGCCCAGTTTGAAGTGCTGGTCTAGGTCCTGTTTGTTATAAAAACTCAGACCTTTCCCCAACAGAAATTGCCCTGGTTTTGTGACCTGTTTGAGGATATTTTGGGGGAACTTAATAGTTTTACACATATAATGAAGAGGCTCTTTTTTTGCATTTATTTTTTAAGGGATGACCTTGACAGGAAGCTACAAGCTATTGCCGTTTCAAAACTACTGAAAAATTGCTCAAACCAAGTGATATTTCTGGGCTACATCACTTCAGAGCCTGGTTCCAGAGATTACTTACAACTTACACAACATGGCAACATGAAGGTAACACAAGTTTAATTATGATTTTTATTAAGTTACATGCTTCTTTATTCCCATACTCTTAGAAAATTCAATCCAAAAAAAACACAAGTGTGTATGTGTGTGCGCGCGCGCGCGCACGCGCGCGCGCGTGTGTGTGTGTGTGTGTGTGTGTTTGTGTGTGTGTGTGTGTGTGTGTGTCTGTGTACCATTAGAGGTCATAGTGTTTTGAGGGTGTGTGTGTGTGTGTGTTTGTGTGTGTGTGTGTGTGTGTGTGTGTATACCATTAGAGTTCATAGTGTTTTGAGACAGGGTCTCTCACTGAATCTGGAGCTCATAGGATAGACCCTGGGATCTACTTGTTATCTGCTTTCCCAGGGCTAGAATTATAAGCATGTACCAACTGTGCCCGGTTTTTTATATGTGTGCTGGATCTGAACCCTGATTTGTGTGGTAAACCCCTTTCCAACTGAATCAACTTCCCATCGCCAGGACAGCTTGATATATCCTGCTTATTGCACACATAAAAGCACTGCACAGCCCACTGCTTACACAACACATCAATTTGCTCACTGATATGCACTGTGACCAGGGCTCAGTGAGGACAGCTCAGCTGTGCTTTACACAGGGCCAGTTTCTTGGGTACTACAGGAGTTCCTGTGTGGAGGATTTACAAACAATGCTTTTGGCTTGGGCTATGGCTCCTACTCATGGGCTAAGTGGGCTTCCTCCCTTATGGTGTCTAGGTTCCAGAATGAGTAAACAAGGGGATAGCCTGTATTGTCTGTTGGGACTTGACCTTCCAAGTGACACAGTGTCACTTATGCTCTAATAGTAATGCTTACCACATGGACCTGAAGGAACATAAACCCCAGTCCTTGACTCAAGGAGTGTCAAAGACGTCTAGTAAGAATACCTCAGGCCCAGTGCGATGTTATTGTAACTGTGCTTACACCATGAAAGCTAGTTCCAAGCCTGTGAGTAAAAGCTGAAATGCAATATCAGCAAGAATGGCTTCCAGGTCACACAGTGCCTTACCATATCTTTCCAGGTCTAAAACACTTCTTCACTGTACCCCGACATAATCAAGCTCTTAGGAAATAAAATACAAACCAAACACCCCAGAGACTGATCCATGCACTAGACTATGGCACACCTTAGTTTATAGTAAGAACACAATTACTTTGTTTGACTAGGCTCAGTAGAGCTCTCTGTCCTTTTTGTTTTGTTGTGAACCTTATGTCTGGAAATGTCTGTAGAGAGTTGGCCAACGGCATTGGAAAGGTATTTGAGACACAGTGTAATGAGGGTTTTGGCAGTTGACAAAAACTCAAATGATAGTGGTGAGGATGAGAGAGAAGTATGTTTCTTGGTATAGAAGTCTTGGTGGAGTATCAGCACTGGTGGGACACTCACTCTGTGTTGTCTGGAATTATAATTTCTCTAATGTGGTTTCACTCAATCAGGCCTGTGCTGCCATGGCCTCTGTTGCTGTGTGCTCCCCACTTCCCATTCCATGACGTCTACTATCATGGTTTCTATTGCTATGGTCTGATCACATAAAACAGCATCCATGTCCTATTTGAGAAGATAGAGAAAGAGCTAAAGAAGAGGCCAAGAGTGTATGTAGGTTATTTCTAAATTCAAACTCCAAGAAGGTGACTCTTGCGTTTTTATTTCTTTGACTGGAATTGATTCATATGGTCATGCTTCAATGTATAAAAGACTGGAAGTAGAGCAATCCATCTTGTCATATATATGCACACACACACACACACACACACACACACACACACACACACACGGAGAAAAAGGGTGACCCTGGGAGATGAGTTGGTCTCTGCACTCATTGAGTAAGAAGAAGTAGAGTCAATATATTCTTCATTTTGGCTGTGACAGTGACATTTATTACAGAGAAGACCCGAAGAAAAACAACATTGCAGGGGATGAACTCAGCTTTGGGCTGAGTTTGAGGCATGTGCATGGCCTAGTGGAGATATCCAAAGGACAAGAGGATATATAGATCTTGGATCCATGAGCTTAATCAGGATTAGAGCTAGGGTTCAAGTATACTGGCAATCCTTCAAGCCACAGTCACGGAGTGACCTTCCTTGAGGAGTTCAAGAAGTGCAGAAGGAAGCTGCAGACAGCTGCCTCAATTGCTATGGTTTGTGTCTGGGTAGTTTATGAAGAAAGTGTCTGCTTACCTCATAGTTTGAAGGCAGACATTATAAGACTAGGCAGCCTTGTCTGTTCAGCCTGTGGTAAAGGCCATCTCACAGCATCACAACACAATGGATGAAAGGTAAAGGAAATGGCCCCAGGAAGAGAGGGGCAAGTGCAGGCTCATTTTGTCACAGCTGGCTCTAGTCTTTGTGAGACCAGTGTTAAACCCCCTGAAGGAGGTGACTCATGACTTAACCACTTTCTACTAGGCCCTGACCCACAAAGTTTTCACATGGCCATAGTAGAGTCCAAGCTTCCATCTCATGAAGCCTTGGGGGACGTGTCCAATCATGTTCAACTGATAGCTATTATGGGGTGGTGAGGGAGAGAAGAGAAAGCACCAATCTCAGGAAAGAGCCTGGGAGAGCTGAGGAGTCAAAGGA